CACCCCCAGGTCCTTTTCCACCAGGCAGCTTTCCAGCCACTCTTCCCCAAGCCTGTAGCGCTGCATGGGGTTGTTGTGGCCCAAGTGCAGGACCCGGCACTTGGCCTTGTTGAACCTCATACAGTTGGCCTGGGCCCATCGATCCAGCCTGTCCAGGTCCCTCTGCAGAGCCTTCCTACCCTCGAGCAGATCAACGCTCCCGCCCAGCTTGGTGTCATCTGCAAACTGACTGAGGGTGCACTCGATCCCCTCATCCAGATCATTGATAAAGATATTGAACAAATATCATAATATCATAACAAATAATCATACACCAGTTCACTTCCCTTCTTCAAGCTCACTTGGCCTTTCTCTCCTACCAGGGACCTTTAACGCCCACTGTCGCTCACCCTTTTATATCACCCTTACTTACAGATTATAATCTAATGTCCATATATCTCTCTCAGAATCCAAGACAGCTACCTAATTCCTTCCCTCCATTTCCAAACCTATCTAATCGCTACAATTAGCACTCTCAAGTTTAATTCACAGAAGTGTTATACCTGGGAGTGATGTACATTCCTTTAAAAATAAGCACAGAAACAGTTAACTGTCTTTAATAACAGGAAAAGCTATTAAAAGTACAATACAATTCAGATACCAAAGACAAAAGAAAATGGATCAGGTCTTACAATCAGTTGTATTACTGTAAATTGCATTCTGAAAATGAAACATGTTAAGTCCATCCTCCTCAAGTAAACCAAAATATATGCTAAGTTGTCTTCTCATTAAACAATCCTGGCTTAAAAAGAGTGGATTTGACCAAAATAAATGTTTCTAAAAAATTGTAAAAAACCACAAGGCAGTTAAAATTCTCACACTAATATAGAACCGTTAAACACATTTACAGAATAAAATGTCACATGTTGATGAAGAAAACACCTTTTTGGCGCAGGCTAAAAATCAGCTTTACCTTATATTTTATGAGGGTAACTTAAGTCCTCTTGTCTCTTTGGGATTTATAGAAAATATACAATGTACTGAACATGAACAGTTCTTAGTAGTACCTGAGTATCAGAATATTTTCAGAGTTTCTGACTCAGGAAAGACAAATGAAGTTTAATCTGATACAGAGTCTCACGCAAAAACCTGTCCATGTTTGTCTCAGAATTCGGAAGAGATGTTTTCTGTCTCCTTTTCTCTGTGTATTGCCTCTTAGATTTTTGGTGCATGAACTTTGGGAAGAGGAACAGTATTAAAATGCTGCTCTGGTTCTCTTTTGCCCAGAAACAGGCAGTACTTCTTAGGCAAACAGGCAAAATTTCCACTGCTCTATATCCAGTAGACAAACACAACAGTGACTGGGGTTCTGTTACACTAACGTTTGAGACAGTGCTTTGGTACCCCCAGCAAGCTTACAACCAGCAAGGTGGGGGTCAACCAGGATGTGTATAGCTATTCTTTGTGATACGAATGTCTTAACAAAATATTAATTTGTCTCTCCATTCAAGAATTGAATAGTAAATTGAATAGTAAAATTAGTAAAATTAAATAGTAAGTATTCCAGCTACCATCAAACACATAAACAAGTTTACAGTTAAAACTTGTATTTATACCAATGGCTTTTTCTCTTTGCAAAGCGAATAGCAATCTGAACTCCTGTTGGAGATATTGTTGCAAATGCTGTTCCTAAAACAGTCGGATTCAACATGAGGTTCACCGATACTTAGTTGCATTATCAGTTATAATATGTAATATTCCTTATAGTAGATATTATTATTAAGAAAGTATATATTATTATAACGAAATGTACTATGTAAAAATAAAACTTTAACGTCCTACATTTAGAGCATTACATGGCCATGGCAGTGGAAAGAAGGGAAGACAAGTTTTTGAACATCTTAAAAAGGTATTGCCTAACAGGTCAATACAGGTCTCTTGCAAAAATCCTTTCAGTCCAATACTTAGATTTACACTCAATAGCTCAATACTAGGAAGATCTATCTTTTGTTACAAAATCCACAACGTTTCATGGCACAAAGCTACTTGATTGCAGTGTATTATACTGTTACTACGGGATTATGATGTTCCTAAGATGGTTATGAGCAACATCGGACTTCTAGCACCATCTCTTGGCTAAAAAAGTGCTGTGGGGCGTTGAAATACGATTTCTAACACAAGCAAGTATTATTTTATGTTTCTTGCTTGCTGCCAGACATGAAGTCTAGTATTGAGAGAGAGCACATTTTCTTTCTGAAGCAAACTTTTAAAGGGGAAGGAAGAAATAAAAGAACACATAAATTCACTCTCTAGAAGTATTATTTGGAAATTTCCTATGTTTTTGTTACAGATTGTAACAGTCACTCCTATTTTTTTGTGAGAACAATTTAATGACAAGTAAAGAAAAAATACTCACTTTGTTCATAATATCTAATTCACACCGGAGTCGCTGAACAGCACTACCTATTTTAAGCAACTGTATACGCAATGCATCATCAATTGGCAGGCAAGCAGCAACTCTGTAAGAAAAATCTAGAAATGAGAGAGTACCAGGCCTGTTAGAATCTGAGAGAGAAATAAAACCTACTACTTCTACTCGGTTACAGATAGAGTGCTAAAACTTAGGTTTATAATAGACTTTTAGAGGTCATCTCGGTACATCCATCTAAGGCTGGATCACGTACACGTAAAACCTCTGCCAAGATATTTGTCTAATTCCACACTTAAAGATCACCAGTGGTGGAGACTGAACAATGCTAGTAAGGTAACGTATTCTAAAACCAGAACAGACCCCTGGAGAACATTGTCTGATACAGACTTCCACTCCCACAGTGAATTACTGTTTTCCAACCACCCGTGGTTATCTTTATGCTTGCACTTCCTCTTTTTTTTGCAAAAAGACAGACATGCTTTTATGAGAGAAGGAAAAACTAAAAGAAAAAACCCCAATCATACACCTCCTTCATACAACCAAGTTTATTACTTAGGTTAGTAGCAAGAAAGTATTCTTTACTGCTTTATTGTGAGAAGGAAAAAGACATGTTCTGTATACGCTCCCTTCTAGAGGTTTTGGAGGGTTTTTTCCCTCATTTGAATGCAGACCAAAAATTAGATCCAAAAATATTCAGTCAAGACGACAGACTTTTTTTTTTTTTTTTTAAAGTGTTAATATGACAGTAAATTCTCAGGCAGCAACTTCAATCAGGTATTAAAAGTCACAAACACAAAAGGTAGTGGACTTTACTACAGCCATTCTTTAACTTAGCTAACAAAAACCTTGCTAAGCTGGAAATCACCCCATTCCTCACAGCCTGTAAAAGAATTCAAAAGCTGAAAATTTAAGTCAGCAAAATATCAGTGTGCTGTGAATCGTGAGAAAAGAAGTGCCAAAAAAGTACTGGATTTTTTTGTTTGTTTTCAGATTATTTCATATGCTTTCCATATATGGTCCTCTAAGCAGCACTCTGGGCAAAGCAGACGAGAAGTACTTTCAACCACTATTTCAGGCAAATCAGAAACGAGAGTTCCATGTACATCAAAACTATTGAGCCCAGACCTGTATTTGGTGCTTAACTGATTTTAATTGTAGGCTGCAGTTTGAATTTTCCCCCTTATTAGGCATTTGAGAGTCTACACGGGAAAGAACGTTTTTCTCCTTAGAAAGGCTTCAACTGAAATTTCTATCTTATTAGATCCTAGAGACCTGCAGAGAGAAGAGACTGGTTCACTGGGGCACAACCCCAATGCCGGCTAAGGCATGAAATCTGGTATCAGCTTTTTTGCAATTAGGTTACTGGTGCTATTTTCCCTCATGTCTGATAAGAGGTAATAAGAAGTAAGAACAAAGAGATTATATATAGTAACACTTAGACTTAGATAAAGATAACTTCAAAAATCTAGTATGCTTTTGGCTCTTGTTTTCTTATGAAACACTTGGATCACATTCCTCCTGCCATGGAGCACAATGGAGTTCTATTTCTTTTACTGAACATGTTTCTGCATGGTTGGAGCATGTTTATGTCTTTGAAAGCTCTGTCATCCTTTTGTCAAAGCCAATCATCAAAATTTATTGGAAACTGGAAGTGAGGGATGGACTGCCAATAAAAGGTAATTATCTAAGTTTTGTTTTCTTAAGAAACTGAAAAAAAATTAAAAAATTAGTTCATGGGCTAAACAACATCATACCTATTGGGTTTGTTGGAAGAGATTCATCTTTAAGATTTTCATCCCATTCATGTAGCTGCCTCTTGACTCTTTCCATCAAGGTTTCCTTTTGTTAGAAGAAAAGCCTAATTTAAATACATAGGTATTTCTGTTTTCTTAGGAAAAAAAAAAAAAAAGGAAGCAAAATGTAGAGTAAGCTATTTTCCCTAAGTGGACATGAGCTTTTAAGACTTACAATAACAACAGACTCATCTTGTATCTACATACTTTAAACTAAGAGCAAAATATGATGGGAAACGGGCCAAAATGAACCAATGGCCCATGGTGGTTATAACTCTCATTTGAGATAAGAAGACAACTGTTAAAATTCTAGAACTGTACAACCGAGATGGGGACTAGCCTGCTCCCTACTTCTGCCTCTCTTACACTAATTACTTTATGTACTAATATACATATATACCTAGGTATATAAAGAAATATGTACGTTTTAAAGAGTAAACCAACTCCAACAGGACAGACAGACCTAAGACTATCCAGCACCCTGGTGGTTAGGACATTCACCTGGAGCACGTGGGACAGAGGATCGAGCTTTTGCTCTGAGACAACACAGCAGGAACCTGAACCTCTGTTATCCGCCCCAGACACATGCTCTAGCACGAGGGAACAACTATACAGAGGGGGAAGCCCTTCCTGCTCTTTTCACGGTGAACTGAAAACTATAAACTTCTTTAAAACATAACTTATGAGCCAAAAAAAATTAAAGCTTTTACATTATCCAATAATTGGATATTAAAACATACAAAACTAACTGTAGATTATTTGGGAATACACAGGGTGAACTTACAGCATCGTATAAAGAGTAGAGCCAGGGAGGCCAAGATGTCAAACTTGCACAGTGGAACTTCCTCTAAAACCAAAACCACAAATATTTATTCTTTAACATTATCAGATTTTAGGGACAGTTCTTGTTCAAACAAATAAAACTGAGAAGAGAGACCTGATTATTTAAAGACACAACAAATTATCACCATCAGGACCAGTACTTCAACATGAAGCTTCCAAACCACTTCTCAAACGCATTGAGAGCTAAGACCTCTGTACAAGACAGACAATATACGGATTTTCTCAGAATACCTGTCTCAGCATTAAAAAAGTATTTCTAATGTTTAGTAATAAGAAATTATGCCTTTCAAAAAAGCATCTGAAATGTAGACAGTTCAAAAAATTTAAGTACTATTAGATAGCGCGTCTGTTCCTTAGTCTCCGTCAACTGTTGCTACTTCAGCAACCACAGCAAACCACTACGTAAGGTGATTAAACTATTCATATCAATTTAGTCAAATACATAAATAAAATGAAAGAAGGAGATTAATAGGCCGTATCAGGTATTTTAACCTAACATATATAAATTCAAAGGATCTATGATGATATTTTTAAAATGGAAAACTAATCTCTTAAAAATATAACCAAAAATACCAACACGCAAGTTCGGAGCTCCAGAGGATGCTTTCTCACAGCAGAACAATCACTGATTAAGACAACTTGGGTAGTCTTGATGTTTAATCATATATTGCTAGCCATTCTCATTCTGGTTATCTATTTTTCATGGAAATCATATTTTCAGAAATGCTTACTGAACATCAGTGCTTGTGCCAGCCTACTGAAAACCTATTAAACAGCTTTATTATAACTTCCCAATGACAGTGAACAAAATACTGTACTATCTCCATCTAACAACATCCTATGAAGAAAAATTAAGACCCAAATAGACCACTGAGTAAGAAATAAATGTGGAGGAGGAAAACAAAAACAATAGGAAAAAAAACCCTGAAGGTCTCATAACTATTTTTTATTGAAGGGTATTCTTTCAAAATAAAAATTTTACTAAGAGGATTGGCCAGTGCTACTGTATCATACTTCACTGTGAACATGACTAACCCGTTCACTTGAACTGTGTACAAAAATACCTACACAACAGTACAGAGCAGATACGGAGGAACAAAATACAAATGGCCACCAATACCACCTCTAAAAAAATCTTCAGCCTGTGTATAGCCTGTGCATATCCTGCAGACATGAAAACTTAGATTATAACTGAATTCCTTAACCACCAAATTTCCAGCAGTGTAAGGTTATTTGCTTAGTTAATTAATTCTCTACAGTAACTTCAGAACACTTAAATTTATAGATTTAGGTTAATAAAAATCTAAAAAGCAGTACACTACATAACCACAATGCTTCCCAAATGAGGATTTCAAATTGTTCTAGAAATACTTACAAATTAAATTTCCATTTTCCCTTTGAGGGCAACTACCCTTATTTTACAAATGGGGGGGGGGGGGGGGGGGAATATCAAATAAATGGTACTTTGAAGAAAGAATTCAGGAACACCAAAACTCAAGTTATTGTTTTAATTAGCAAGTATATTTTTTGTAACAGCTGACATGGGGTCAGCTCTCGTATGGAGTAGAAACCATTCTTAAAATGCAACTTCCATTTTCTAATGCTTCTCATTATATTAGTAAACATACAGAGGTACAGCCTGTCATATCGGAAACGGTCACAGTTCTACTGACATCAGTAGAGCGACGGAGGTCAGTAGGACAATGCCCCTACTCTGGATCTGTATCTCAATCCACAAAAGACGTGCACTGCATTTCAGCTATCATCAGATAGACTCAGTCTTGGAAAGGGATTTCCGCCCCCACCCCCGCTAGGCTTAGGGTTTCTGGGCTTGTTAACTCATAGATGAACTTGTTCAAGAACTCTGAGAATCAATAGCTTTTTGTTCTTAATGATTTTTTTGTGTGTGTGTGCCACAGAGTTCAAAACCATTGAAGAAAAAAACAAATCCAAACCTTAACTGCATCTGACAATGAGGAGAGTTACTAGGATTCTATATTAATTTCTGGAGGTAGTTCCAAAGATCTCTGCAGATACAGAAGACTTCAAGGTATCTTTCTTCTTACATGCCACTGACTGAAGCGGTGGGTTAAATAAATAATAAGCAAGCCACAATTTTAGTTTTTTCAAAAGTGTCAGGTTGCCCTCTTTCACCACATCCTCTCCTACTGACCTCAGCGCTAGATCTTGTCCCATTAACCTTACCGTGCATATTTGTCCACTGTTAATGATAGTTAGTCTTTGAAAAGCTTGCACTGTGCCTGAGAATGAGCTAGGTTTACACTCAAAAGGCTTTTGCTGGTATAACTATGCTGGTAGGATACGCTAGCATGGTGCTTATTACAGGAAACATAATTTATTCCAGCAAAATTATCCTTTTGACAGTATATTTTATTTCAGACTCCTAAAGGAAAATGCTGTATACTGGTAAAAGTGCACATTCACTTGTATAAATGCATCTTTTAGCACCTTTTAAACAGCGCAGCTGTCTCTAGCACAAATCACACCTTATTATTCTGCTGAGCAATGCAAAAGTTTGTAGCTTAGGCCTGGCAGCAGCCACTTAGGACTCTTGAAAATGCTGCCCTACAATCTCAGTGTGAATTCCCTCCTGATTCCAAGTACTGTCACAGCTGCAGTGCTGCAAAAATACTGTAAACAAGCAAAGACAGAATTTGTGCCAGTGAAGCAAAATTAGGTTCTAGGAAAGTAGAACCTAATTCCCTAATGACAATAACAACATCTTGATAATGGTTATTTCTCCTCTTCTAAAGAAGTGTAAAGTCCGCATACTTATTAAAAAAGCTCTAGGAAATAATATTAATAAGACCATGGAACTGTTAATTCACGCACTTTGTGTGTAAAAGCACCGTCTTCTGCTAATAACTACTATGTCAACATATGCAGAGTGCATGAAAAAAAATCAGAGATTTCTATGGCCCTTTCCTATCTTGTCACTTTTAGTACCATAATAAAATTTAAGGAAGTTTCTAAATTCAGTTTAAAAAAAAAAAAAAAGGAAAAAAAGGGGATTACATATTGACTACCCCAGAAGGTAAATCTGTTGAACAAATACTAATAAATCAAAAAACAGACTTAGAAATACATGTGCAATTGGCCAGAATAAGTGGATTGTATAGAAAAATTGTGATCTGACAAAGCAAATGACTAAGCACAAAAGTCAGCAAGAACTTTACATACATGTTATATAAAAATCTGCAAGATGAAACTGCAACATAAAGCATGCTCAAAACTCTAAAGTGCAGCCTAGTTGTTAGCTAGCAATCATCTGTGTGGGAATATTTGACTGAGTTAAAAAAACTGAGTCTGTCATTCTAACGCAGATCCACATTTTCTGTAAACAAGTAACTGCAGGTGCAGAAGTTAACCCTTTAACTGATGCAGGTTTTAAAGCAAAATTAGCAAATGGAATTGTGATTCCAAACTAAGACATTACAGGTCTTCAGTTTCATCACTGAAATGTGGGAGTCACCCCTAAAATACCTCTGCTCTTTAAAGACCTCTTCTACCTGAATCAAAGTCACAAAGAAACAGTTACAAAAGCGTCCTTATTTCCAAAACCACACCATTATGACAAGTACAACAGAAAAGCACTGGCACTGTCAACACCGATTGCCAAATTTTTATTGTCAAAGCAATGTCAGTAAAAATCAAGATGTTTCTTTGACCTTCCTACAAATAAAATTCTATAAACTTACTGGTTTCTTCCACCAACACTTCTCCATCTACAAGCTTTACCAAACAGCACTCTCTGAGGTGTTTTGATTATGTAAAAAAATAATAATTGTAATATTACATGAATTATGTAATAATATTAATCTAATAATACTGTAATTAAAACCAAAGAGAACTCATAATACAAAACGTGTATTTCCCCATTGCTGATGGCTGATAAACAATCACATAATACGTGACAAAAGCAGGAGGTTGGCATCCAGCATCCCAGTTGTGCATCCTCCTCTAAAGATGAACAGATGGGATTTTATATTGATTTTCAAAATACCATCAAAAATTTGAAGAAAAACACCACCACAACTAGCTTCTAACCTTTTGATATTTCTGCCACCATTGATGTATAGCTCGGTCCTGCCACGCTGTAGGTTTTGAAGAAGGAAATATATGGCATCGGCTGAGAGACTGCAGCTGTACTGCTGACATTGTTGAAGGCAGCACTCGCTCAGGAAGGATTTGTACTTTAGCCTGCTGGATTCTGATTAAAAAAAAAAGATGACATACACACATATACAAGAGTTCAAAAAAATGGATTTTACTGCTTGTAAAAACATAGGCTTGTGTAATAGATGTAATCACTACATAGTACTACAGAATTTAAGCAGCAATCCATTCAATCAGATTTTTAATGTTGTATTAATGTAAACCAAATTACCTTAGGGAGCATACAGTATATCTGTAGCAAACCAAACATATACTATTCTAGAACACAGATTATCTCATGCCCTTGGCTAAATTATTAAAGCCACTGTGCTGACTGGACTTTGATCTACCTAATTGAAGACAGAAGCAATCTCTGTTTTTCCCTTTCCTTTAAAAACCAGAATTAGCTGTTTTCCAAATATTTTTTGCACTGGTATACAGAACTCTACAAAGATCACTACTTTAACTTTTTCAGCAAAAGTTTCTTTGCTGGGTTTCCCCCCCCGAACAGTTAGCTTCCTTTTCCATGGGATACAATGGGCTGTCTTTGTATTTTAGAGCACTAGATATCTGTTGGGATTACGGTGGACAGAATTAAAGCCAGATTGGCAGTGGCAACACAGCAGAATATTCTACCATCTCAGCACTGTATTTTTAGATTTTTGTCTCCTCAAGTTACTTTTGGTATAAACTAATAGTCAGCTATTACGTATCAAACCCTCAGAAAGGAAGTTTAGCTGAAATGCAGTTTGCTATCTTCAAACCACAAAAGCTTATGTGCTTAGCTAGAGTTCAAAATCAGCAGAAATAGGATATAGACTCTGATCATCTTTTAATATCCTAGCATTAACCAGGTCACCTAGTCCACAAAGAGTTCAGCAACAGTTATGTGGCTACAAAGAATACTGTCTAGCAGGAAGGACTTTACATTTTAACAGTATTATGCATCAGAAATCCTGAAATATTAAGATGCATGTCATTACAAATTTCCAATTGTACTTACAGGGACAACACTGTGGAAGAAAACATTCATTTTTCCAATAATTAGAGACCTCTGAAGTGTGTCACCTCTCTCAATATTCACTACAGATATCCATGTGTCAAGACACTTAACATTCGTGCCAGCAACAGATACTAAGCTAGTACATATTAACCTAGCCATCCTTGTCCCTCAGGCAGCACCTGTTAACCTCATGCCAGCAGCCCTCATGGCTGACTCATTAGGGTTCCGATATCCTTGTCCCTCAGGCAGCACCCTGCCTGTTAACCTCATGCCAGCGGCCCTCATGGCTGACTCATTAGGGTTCCGATCACCGGCACCAGATTCCCTAATGGCACCGGTATCGAGTTAGAAAGCCTTAGGAACTTCACTGTACAAAACTGCAAATGTAAATGTACATGTAAGGTTTAAAAGACCTGACAGAGATTACTCCTGCAAATGACAGAATTAATGAGAATTAATTAGCCCAACCACTGAATCAAAAAGGCCTGGTTTTTGTTTTCCCCAAAGCAAAATATTCAGCATTTCTTACTGCTGATGGTTTGGAAGAGGTTCACAAATGGGTAAGTACATTCCAATACTGACTATATTACTGAGACTTGAAGCATTCATCCATGAGCCTGGTAAAGTTTCTGTTGAGACAGCTGAGATATTCAGGTAAATCATCAGTTATTCTGATTATATTAATGTAAACACTGATTCCAATCTTGCTTCCATGCACATAATATACAGACCCCTGTTTGTTTATGTAGGGCTCTGGTCATTTTGCCTGTTGTTACTTGTGTAGGTTTACTCTGAAGAAATGCTGGCAAGCGTTTCTGTGTTCTGAGAAGTGCCAGAATACTGAGACTGAGCAATGACCCTAGCTTAATTCAAGCATTTTGAATCCCATGTGCATCCCTACAGAATTCCCAAGCATGCGGCTATCTGAAAGCAGAGTAACTCTATATAGTTTAAGTCATTCCAACAAATCTAGAGCTTGCCATGATAAGATTAATCTTGCCTCCTTTATTTCACACGTTTAAAAATTCATACTTAAGAAACTTGCGAACGTGCTGTGTAAAAGTGATCTCTGCTAGTTCAGTAGATATAAAACCATCATAATAAAATGTTTTAACAGTACAACAAAATCACTATACATCCTAACTGTTTCTGGATACTGAATTCTCAGTAACAATGCCATTGCTACTGTAGCTGTCCAAGTACTGCCATCTTGTGTTCAAGCAATGGTTTTTCTAAGCTGTAAAATTTGGAATATGTTATCTGTAACCAAACGTTAGATAGCGATAAATAGCAAGTAGCACACGTATTCTTCATTTCTTCAGCTGCAGGTCATAAAAGCGTAAGAAAATGCTGAGCTCAGACTGTTCCTAGGCCTCTTTCTAAAGCAATGCCACTATACGGAACAATAGCAGAACACAGATGATTAGCTTTAGATTTACAGATTTGGAGCAAGATGTTATATGCCTTGCAGAAAAGATTACAAAAACCCCTAGCAATTGTGCTAAGAATTGTCACATGCTCACAGATTCAATGTCTGGAGCCTGTACCTGTGGACAGTGATGTTGACAGAGGCTCATGATGTAATGCATGATGTCAAGAACTTGAGAATGACAGAAGACTCAACATACTCTTAACTAAATGTTAAGGGTCTCAGCCACTTCTATAAATAGACAAAGGTATTAATTACATAATATGATAAAACTGTCAGGAGCCTCTAAATATTGCAGGTATCACACTGGAATATAGAAAAGAACAGGACTAGAATATAGAAGAGAAGAGAATACTCCTATCAAAGCTGATTTGAGTGTGTTTGACAAGCACATGAAAAGAATTGTCAAAGAATACTCCTATCAAAGCCGATTTGAGTATGTTTGACAAGCACATGAAAAGAATTGTCAACCAGTAACAGGAGAAGTAGCACTTTTCTATCAGTGAATTATCAGTGAACAGTCAGAAAGGAAGAGGTAACACTTGCTGAAGGTAAGGATGTACTAAACTGTGACAACGGTTAAAATAAACAAGATTTAGTATTTGAGAAACTGAAAATGATGGGCTGCTTGCAGTTAGCAAAAATCAAGAACCACATTCAAGTATTTATCCAGAAATCTCAGTGTGCTTTTATGTTTTACAAAGGGAAAAAACGAACAAGAGAAGCGACTTATTTCTCCATTATTACCAGACTCCAGTCCTCCCCTTTCACGGGCAGCTTCTCATGAAAGCCACCACCCCTCTGGGCACAGTTACTGTCCTCTCCATATATGAATCATGCAGCTGAATCCTTCTGCATGCTGCTGAGGCTCAGTACTTAAAGATCACTCAAAGTACAAAAAAGGACAAGCATATTGTTATTAGCTGTAGTGTCAGACACTTGCCTGCAGCAGTTCAGAGCTGCAATTGCACATAAAGTTACGAAGTGGAACACGTCCAGTGCAGACCATCTCTAGAAAGGTCTCCTTTCAGAAAACGAAAGTTACAATTTTTCAAAGGAATGGAATCTGGTCGCTACCAGGGAGGCTTTCCACAAGACAACAGAAGGCACACACTTGATATTGTATCCTCTCATTTCACATCTAGTTTGAAACAGGGATATGAGAGATGGTGAAATAAAACTTTAGAACTTACAATGCAGGCAAATCAACATCTTTTTCCTGACTTAAATTTCAGCAACAAAGTCATTCTGACAGATGTTTTCTCACACACAACAAATCAAACTACAGGTAGATATTCTCTAGAGAATTTTATAGCAAAGTTATTAACTACTAAAATGTGAGTCTTAGAACAGGAAATGTCCGAAGTTCTTAATAACCAGAGAAGCGGCTGATTAAGCATCCAATTAATATCTATACTAAGCAGTCAACTGTGTGACTGAAAGGGCAGATGCACCTGCAGTAAAATGTAAGCGTTTTGGCAAAACAAGATTTGCAGTATGTAGAGTTAAATACATAATTTTCTTACCCATCTGACTGAGTTCTTATTTCAAGCACCTTGAACCTCTGTCTTCCTATTGCTTTCACTTTGACCGTTTCAATTCCATACTCCTGCTCTTCTCTGTAGGCATATATTTCTGCTGTTGTTCCAAAATGTGCTTCCCTTTCACGTACGTTACTAAAAGTAACAGAATTAAAAAGGTTACCTACCCTCCAAACAGCATTGTTCATTCAGATTTCACGAGTTAGTCCACCTGCACTGACTGTACACAATTAGTCTTATCAAAACTGTAAATTTGGTAAAATACCTTCAACTAACTGCAATCGTTATTCTTCCATTTTAAAAGCAGCTTCTAATGTTTTGTTTGGTTGGGGGTTTTTGCCAGTTGACTTGGTTTTATTTTAGGGTCTAAAGGTGAAATTCCAGGAACACAGGGATCACCAGTGTATCTGCATTTGAAATGCAGATACTGAAAGTACCAAAATTCTTTAGATTGACTTTCTAAAAATAACTGTTCCCACCTCCTACATAATTAAACCACAGTAAATCGGGGGAAGAGGGAGGAGCATTCCCAATTTCTTTTGGCACAGATTAGCCTTTTATCTTTTCTGCTTTTCTATCACCACCTGTCTCAACTCTATTGTGAAACATTGGCCTGCGCTTGTTAATTTACACACAAAACAAGAAAATACACCTTTACAACAATACAGTTCTCAAAACAAGAATCTGATTTTTACATTTCAGATCAAGGCTTATTCTTTAAGCAAGATGAAGCAGTGCATTCAAACAGTTACTGAAATCAAGGAGGATGCTCAAACAAGGAAAGCAGATCAACGCTTACTGTTTCTCTATACAAACATGTGATACTGTCATGCAGCTACCCAATATGACACGAAAACCTTTTCATTACGTATCGGAAGACCATTTTTGTCAAACAATTTCAAACCACAACTTATGTTATTCACCACAGAACTGATGCAACCATCTGCTTTTGGTTTAGTATCCAAAGAAATTGTGCTAAAAATACATGCTGCACACCATCAGTAAACCCACTCGTGTATTTTACCTGTATGCAAGAACAGCAAACGTTCTGTCTTTCTGAATTAAATTCCGCACCATGCTAACCTCTTGAGGGCGAAAAAGCTGAAGAGGTAACGTCTGTCCAGGAATCAACATCACCATCACGTGGGGCAACACTGGAATCACCTGACAGCTGTCATCATCATGTACCGTTCTTCCATGAAACTCTTCCATATCAGAACCTAAATACTGAAAACAGTAAGTAAGCAAATGACAGTAGTATAAGAGGTTTTGGTGATTGACAAGGATAAAATAAAATTAGGTCTTTGGCTTAAGGATATTACAATAGAACTACACAAAAACAATCAAAACCTCTTCAAGATGCATTTAATGGACGATATATAAAGAACATACCACATGTGATGTTGGCAAACTGGTGTCAAAATTAATGATGTTTGGCTTTTCAGCTTCTTTACTATCTTGATCTTCAACTTCCATTTCATTGTCATCCTCTTCCTCGCTCTCTGCTAATAAGCACATACGAAATATTGTGCAGAAATCAATCAGCAAAGACTAAGATACTGAGAAAAATCAGAGAATCACAGAAATGCATTCAATATTCCCAGGCTACAGGCTTTCACGGGGAAGCAACTTTTGTATTTGTAAACTTGTGAAAAATAATTTTCTTGCTGTTACAGCAAAATCACCGTTCTACAGAAAGGGTCAAAAGCTGGTAATTCATTTTTGAAAGGCTAAAGTACAACTTTTCTTGGAAGAAAATAATAAACAAATTCTGTCAGCTCACATTTTCACTACAGTAATATCTCCTTATCTCGATTCTAAACGTTTTCTGCCTGTACACCGGGATGTCAGATAACTTAATTTCCTGTAGGATGCTGAATACAGCGTTTGAAGTAGTACAAACCTGAACAATATAACTGCACACATAAAGCAAGCGAGTTAAAAGTATTCTGAAGCTCTATATTCATGCAAAGACTCTTGCTGGTATTTCAGACACTTTCACTGCTGTCAGCCTCTCCCGTGTATATACCAAACACACACACAAACCCCAGCACACGCACAAATCCAGCAAAGGCAACCATTAAGGAAGCAAATAACATGACCCCGCAAAGGATTTCAGGTTCAAAATAGTATTTAAAAATTACTACTTTCTTCCCATTTCTCAGTTCCAGGTGTCAATTCTAAAATTACTTTCAGGCAAGAGGACGGTTAAATTATCAGTATATTTTATTTTGGAAACACATAAAAAGTGCATTTATCTGTATAAAATCTGCAAAAAATATTTAGAAGTAAATTAAAAAAACATACTGAAGATAATAAAAAAATATACCTATCTCTAAAATGCTGGTTTCACTGACTGTTGTGTGCATTAGCACACAATGTATGCCTGCAAATACTCACCCAAAACAAATGCAATGTAATTATCACACATTTGTAACTGTATTTCATTACAGTTAACTTCTGTAAAGTAATTACAGAAATTACTTCTTTTAACACAAACAGTATTTATACACCATGCTATATCTAAAATAGACGTTATCATAAACTCTGCAGACCAATATGCAGGATTCTTACACCAATAGCTCCTGGGTAATGGATAATCCCAGTGGTGCTGAAAAACAGCATTTAGATCTTGAAAGCTATTACATTACAAGATAGGCAGAAAAATATCTTTACAATAGTCTATCTAGTTGACTGCCTTTGCAATTAGTATCTTAAGAAATAATCCAGAGTTGAAAATTTAAAAAGTGGAGCGATTATCTTATCTGAAAGGTACTGTAGGCAAATCTTACAAAAGATGCCCCACTGGTGCTGAAAAACAGCATTTAGATCTTGAAAGCTATTACATTACAAGATAGGCAGAAAAATATCTTTACAATAGTCTATCTAGTTGACTGCCTTTGCAATTAGTATCTTAAGAAATAATCCAGAGTTGAAAATTTAAAAAGTGGAGCGATTATCTTATCTGAAAGGTACTGTAGGCAAATCTTACAAAAGATGCCCCAGAAGGAAGGAGTCTTCCTTCAGAAGTGGGAGCACCACCGCCCTCTTTCACTGAGATCTTACTATTTCTGAGAGTGGGAGGACAAGAGAACAATGAAGGAGACATTCTAAGCTGTTTTTGGAGATCCTTTTCTTTCCCTCTTCGGCCTTCAGACACATTTGTTAAATGTATTCTTTACAAAATGTTTAGTCAATGGTCTTTCTGCTTCACCTCTTTTTTTTTTTTTTTTTTTTTTTTAAATGCTGCATAGTTTACAGAACCTCCTCTGTATGAGGCATGGCACGACACGCTGATGTTATGGCTCCATGCTGTATTGTATTTATCTCAACAAGAAATGATCCAGCATGACAAGAAAAGAGGTTACAGACTCTTTGGCGTTTTACCTAATTACAGAACTTAAAGCAATAAGACATCATCTTCCTAATTACTGTAAAAAGTATTCCATTTCTTTATGAAATTTCTCTTCCATTATATTCAGTTAGGAACCCTAACCATGAATGACTGCAAAATGTTTAAGACATACAAAACGGCCAGCATTTTGCTTAGCTTGATGGAGGGAAAGAGTAGGAAGTTTTTGCTTGGTTCTGGGGCAGCAGTGCAGGGTGGAGGAGGGAAGCTGACTTCATGAAAAATTACATTCTGGTTTGCATGCACTCTCATCAAGTTGCATCAATCATTAGCAGTTTTAATAGCCTTTTAGAGAGAGGCTGTTTCACTCATTTTTCTGAACACAAAAGGAATTAACAGCAGTTGATTAGAAAGAACTGTGCCCTGCAAACTTTTGCTCGTTCTTGCCAAAAACGCACACTAGCTGCTGTGTGGTGGCAGAGAGGAACGATGACTCATTTTACTGCAGCAGCACCATGTGAGTGTCAAAAAAACACCACCGTCTTCACTCTCCTCCTCGATCACACTACAGGAACAGGAGACGGAAGGCAAAAGGAACTGCATCTTTTACATCCCTAACTATACATATTTCTGTTGATTTTTTTTATTTCAAGATTAGTGCAAAGGCACCCTGCGTGACACGGCTCACATTTCCTTCGTGGCAGGTTCGGCACTCACGGATGCTCATCCTGGCCCGCTAACGCTACCAAATCTACTCTCAACACCTTTGTGCAGAAATGAGGAAATATGAACCTCATTCAAAAAAAACAGGAACAGGGTAGAAAATATTAAAGCTCTATTTCCTAAAATATTCAGGAAATATTTTCATATTATTTTAAATAGAAAGACATAAAATGCTCATAGAATTTCCTGCTGTAGGAAATGACATCGGTTACTGGCAGGACTTACTGCTACGTTCTCCTTTGCATGCTTAGTCTGAAATAATGTTTTTTTTTCCAGTTTAGCACGAGCTGCTTCCAAAACCGTATGATCTCCTGTCGGTTTGGAGGCACTATATGCTAAATCAGAAAAAGACGTGTTATTATGCAATTGGTACCCACATGAGGAATTACGCTGGTGTACGTGGACGGACAAGCTAGGCTGTTCCACAAGCTCCAGGATAAATACCGCAGAAGTCTGGACAGCGTGTGGAACCCAACACTGCCAACTCGAGTCCTGTGCACAGCACCTCTTGCTTCTCTGCTTATTAATGGCACTAGAGAGCATTTAAATTGAGTGGAGACTTTCTACAACAACAAATGTTTTCCTCAGACTTTGTCCGGTTTTAGAGAAGTCAAATTGAACAGAGAAGAGCGTCTGCATTTGCCCACTTTGGTGGCAACTTCACAGCACGTTTCACCCGATCGGCGGCCCAATGCCCAAACACCCACTGAGCGAGTAACTCTCCCTCCACTGCAGAACTGCGGGTTCAGTCAATCCGGGCTGCGAGCGACCAACGTGCCAACACCCGTTACTTGCCGCGGGAAGGCTGCAGCTCCATTAAGCCAACGTCTGCGCTGCACCGCCTACCGCCCACCTAAAGGCCACCCCAGCAACGCCGCCCGGGCTCCCCAGAGCCCCCCTTCTTCCCACGCGGCCCCGCAGCCTCCTCCTCGGCCCCGCTCCGCCTGCCCTCGCCCG